CGCCCCGGACAGCTGCGCTCGTCGGCGTCGGCGCTCTCCAGCTCTTCGTCCTCCTCAGGGTAGTACTCCGGGGCCGGCGGCGCTCCAGCCGGGGCCGGGGCCGGAGCCAACAGCCCCGCCGCACTCATGTTGCCTCTGACCACAGTTGAGCGTGCCCGGAGGAGACCGCCGCCACTCGGGCTGAGGACTCGACGTCTCCCTCTCAGCGCCGGACCGTGTCGCCAACTCGAGGAGCCGGAGCGGAGGCGACCCCTTCCCCGTCTCCGCCGAGCTCCGCCCCCAGCGCCCGCGCTCGGCAACGGGGACCTCGCGCTGCGGGCGACTTCCGGGTCGCGAGCTGCCCGACGATGGCCTGACTCCGTCATCCTTGAGGGAGAGCAGAGGCCGCGCCGTTCGTCCACTTCGCCAGGATCCCAGCTCCTTCATTGTCGTCTTAAAATTCTCAACGGGCGGTGGGGGAAGGGCCGAGGTCCGTTCCCGTGAGTTCGGCATATCCATGGGCAGCCTAGCCACGGTCAGGACCCCGGAGTGCAGAGGAGACTTCCGGGAACAGCCGCCAGGCGGCGCCTGGAGCCAGAACTAAGGCGAGGGATCCTGTGAGACCTGAGGGTTTGCAGGGCCGCTGGTGGGCGGAGGTGGTCTTTTCCCGAATTTAAGCTTGTGAGCCACAGAACCATCTCATTAGTAGGTCAGGAAATCTACCCACCCAGGGTCTGCGTGATCATGCGGAAAATGAAAAAAGAGAGCCTAGCTCCTCCCCTAAAGTGGCGCTTTATTAAGAACTGAAATAAAGACAAGGCTGCTGATCCCCCATCCTGGGATCAGCAAAACGATTATTTTCCTAGTCTTTGGAAATCTTATTGGATAGGTTTAATGGACAGGATGTGCTCCGATTTTACAAATGAGAAAAGAGCTGTCATTTGCCTTAAAAATGGTAGCGTCTGGTCTGCTTTGTTTAGACTCCTAGACCCAGGCCCTCCACAGCACAGATGCCTCAGATTTGCTCAAATACTTTTTTTTAAGTGTTTTTGCCTAATCCAAAAAACTTTCTAACCGACTGTTAGCTGAGAAGTGGAGCCTTTGCCTACAGGAAGTAATTTGGCTAAAGTAAGGAGAGCCCCGGGTGGAAACTGAGAAAGCTGAGCATCTGCAAGAATTTGTGTGATTCCCTCACATTTAGGTGTCCTTTTGCTGAAAGCAATATGGTCTAGATGTTTAGCAAGGAAAAGGGCCCAGAGATGTTTAATGGTTTGTCCAAAATACCCCTACTATGTTGCAACCAACTCACCATAGAAGTAACGACTAGAAAAGCCAAATGTAGATGTTAAATCCAGGGTCGAACCTAATATTCTAATTCTCAGATTCTTTGTGATCAAGTTTAACTCTGAAATGGTCCTCAAGGAGTCATCTGAAAATGAGAAACTTTATTCTCATCCTATTTATTTTAACATTCATTTACTACTTTAATTAAAATCTTGGCTGTTTTGTTAGGAATTTTTCCTCCCCACAAAATTCAAGAATTTCCATGTCGAATGCAGCAATGTCCTTCCAGGAGTTGAGAGATCTTCTGAAGCTCTCTAAATAACAGAAGTTCTTAGCACTCACTGTAGGTCTGCCATCTATATTTAAACGAGGATTTCAGAACTGTCTCTTGTCCAAAGGATGAAGTCATTTTCTTTTTTTGTGCTGTTGGATCACATCTGAATTATTTGTAATCAACTATATTGAGTAACTTTGAGTTCCTATCAGGAGCAATAATCATAGAGCTGGAAAAAAATTTTAGAAATCAGAGTTCATTGATATAATGAATGCAAAAAAAAAATAGTTGATGTCATTGCTAAATGGTTTCCTTTCACGATGCTGGGGTTTTTAATCTTGCTTGTGTTTCATGTCTATTTCTATCTTCTTAATTGCAAACAGCATCTGCTAGTGGTCATGCATTTCTTTTTTATATGTAATGAATAGACACAGCTGAACTCCAGTGGTAAGCACTTACCCACGTTTTCTATCTTATCGATAGATTGCCAACTGTAAAACTCGTAGGCTGAGCTCTTAACTAATGCTCTTCAGTGAAGGTGACCTACTGAAAAACATTCTCTCTTGACTTTAGTCTTGTCCAACCCTTGTAGTATATAATGTATATAATGATTTTGGACAGTCTCTTTTGACCTATAAAAATGAAGTTCCCCTTAAAGCCAACTTTTACAACCCTGAAATCTTTCTCTGTGTCCTTTCCCATAATGGTACTTAGCCACACTGCTCAGGAAACATCAACTTCAGAACTCCACTTGACTTAAAAGAAGTCCTGCCAGCACCATTTCCACAACCTCTTGTACCTCCAGGCACTCTCTGCATACTGTTACAACCACATTACTTTGGACTTGGAACAGGGTATGCTTTTTAAACGCTAAGGGAAATATTTACCGTTTAGATACGGTTTTTAAACACTAAGGGAAATATTTACTGTTTAGAACACAAACCGTGTCAGCAACTTTTTTTTAACGTTAATGATGGAGGGGTTTCTGATAGCTAAGGCCTATGTACCACCAAGGCTAGGATCCCAATGCGTTCCTGAAATGAAGCAATTTCTTTATAAAATATTAACCTGTCAAAGTCCATAAACTTATTTGAAGTCTAGAGGTGAGGAAAGCATTTTTGGCTTCTAATTTTGATTGAACCAACATAGCCAGTTTTTCAAAAATAATTTTTAAAATGGATCTGAATAACATGATGCCCTTTCACCCCAGCAGGCTCCCTTGTGGCTTGGGTCAAGATGGATCTCTTCATTATCACAAGTTGCACTTTGGTCAAAGCTCATTATTGATGATTCATACAGAATCATTAAAACCTGTGGGCCTGAAAAAGGTTATGTTGAATTAGGCTTGCTGAAACCTTGCTAAATTAGTTAACAAGCCTCCTCCTACCACAGTTCCTGTTTTTACTGTCATCAAAACCCACAAACTGGGTACATCTAAAGCTCTGTCCTTGTGCCTACCCAGATGTGCTCCGACCATGTTCAACGTTTATTTGCCAGCAGTATGCATCTAGTATATTTTCTCTAACAGTGTTAAAATGACGTCTGTGGAACGCAATGCAAAGGAAGTCTTCCCTGACAGAGGGTTTAAATCCAAGAAACATTTACAAGTCCTAGGCCAATAAACGCTTCATTAATTTAGGGCAGAATTACTTTAAAAAGCTGTACAAGGTCTAACGAGGGAGTGAGGTCCTCCCCAGGGGCTCTAACATGGTGGTCTCTGGGACTCTCCCAAGAAAAGTAAAGGCGTGGGGAGGAGTACCATGAACTTTGACCCAGAGCAGAACAAACAAGACTGACCGCACCCCAAGCTGGACCCGTGGGTAAGTGAAGTTGCAAGGTCTTCCGTGTCTGAGGAAACCCCGCCCCACTCCGTGCCGCCCGCTGCCGACACACCAATCCCCGGGCTCCATCGACCGCTCGGTTTCCCAAGCATGTCCAATCAAATACCTATATCCGGGCCCTGTGTTGTGCCCCACGATCAGGGAAGGTCAGTAGAGAGCCTATCGGAGCCAAGCTGGGGGCGTGGTCTTGGAGTAGGGGGCGGGAAGACTGAGGAGGAGGGGCGGAGCGCGCTCGGCGCAGTCGGGTGCGATTGGCCACCCCTGGCAGGAGCCGCACCTCGGACAGCAGCAGCGGCGACCGCGAGAGGGTCTGTGTGGAGCGGGGCGCCGGGGTCCTGCGCCGAGAGTGGGACGCCAGGCGGAGACCGCGGGCGGAGGCTTGGCCCTGCTAGATCTCGCACTCCGCGGCCGGACCGTGGAATCCAACAGGGGACAAGGCGCCCGAGAGCGACTCGGGAACAAGTGTGGGAGAGGAAGCGGCGGCGGCGACGCCGGGCCCGGGGGTGGTGACAGCAGGTCTGAGGTGAGAGCTCCGGGGCGCGGGGCGGTGACAGCGTGAGCCGAGGCGCGGGGACCCTGGGCGGAATGAGGCCGGGGAAGATCCGAGCGAGGGGAGTTCCAGGAGTGGGTCTGACAGTGCGAACTGTGGAGAGGGGACCCTGAGAGGGTCCCGGACAGCTGGGTGAGGTGAGGGGACTCTGAGAGGGACCCGAACAGCAGGGGACACTGAGGGACCGGGCAGCAGGTTGAGAGATAAGGACCCCATGTGAGCTTACGACAGCGGGCTTAAAGGGGAGAGGACCCCGAGAAAGACCGGGACAGCGAAGTGAGTGGCGGAACCCCAAGAGTAGCCAGGACATAGAGTCTGAGGAAGAGACCCCGAGAGGGTCCGGGTATCGTGCAAAAGGGTGGGGGTCTCCGAGACCGGACCGGACTTCGTATAAGGGGAGGGGTCCCCGAGCCGGGCCGGGACCGCGCGGTGAGGGTTTGGGACCCGGAGAGGGGACGAGACTGAGAGCTTGACGGGGAGAGGACCTGAAGAGGGGCCAGGACAGTGGGGCTGAGGAGAGGGGACCCCGAGAGGATTAGGGAAGTGGTTTGAACGGGGGGCTGGGGGAACAGGCCCGGCGAGGGGCGGTGAGCCCAGTGTGCAGGGTCGAACCCCCGCCCCGTGCAGCGCCGACCTGGCGGGGAGAAGCGAGGAAGCCGCGAAGGGTCGCGCCCGCTGAGCTGTGGAGACCCCCAGGACTGCTCGGCGAGGAGCCTCAGTCCGGGTCGCGGCGCCTGGCGAGTGGGGACGAGCCGCTCCCAGCGTCTGTAACTGGTGATCTTCTGGGGTGGCGTGTGAGTCCCCGGGACTCTGGGGGCACTCGAAGCCGGGGTTATGTAATTGGCCATCTCCGAGGTGGAACGCACGGGCTGGAGGGGCTGGCAGCAGCGCTGAGATCGGGGAAGATCTGGAGAGATGCGCCGCTGGCCTCTGCCCACTGGCCGGCTGGCTTCTGATTCCTTCACTAAAGTTGGATGCGTTTGCCTGGGACGCCAGGGGCTTCCTGACCTTAAAGGAAACGTCAGGTGAAAAGTTGGAAGGGGCTTCGTCAACCCTTTACAGGACGCTGAAAGAAAAAAACGATTCTTTTGGAGACCCAGGTGTTAGCTTAATTAGGATGTTCATTTTGATAGATCTTTGTATTTTCCTGGAAGCCTTCCTTTCCCCCCACCCCTTCATTTTAGCTCAAGGAGCTAAGAAACTTTTTCAGATTTGGCAGCAAGTCAATGTCAATGTTTACAGTGCAGATTTAAATGAACTATCCTAGGTTTGGAATCTGAGGTGTTTCACTTACAGGTTGGAGACAGATGGAAGGTCAAACTAAATTTTTTAAAGAGTGGTGTTGGAGTCACTAAACTAAGAGCTCTTTCCA